ATGGGAAAAATCTTCCAAAGTAATAAACATACAGCTCTAAACCCAAGTGTACTATTGAATCACCATACATTCAATACTGATGGTGATTCCATTACAAACCACAGTAAGAAGGTAAGACACTATGGTTCTCACAGTTAAGCTCCCCAATTATACATTAAACAACTTATGAGTTAATTATAGGGTTGTACAACCAACTCTGTAACACTCTCAAAGGCATGCTGCTCTTATCGATTCAAACATTACTAAACAGACATAAATTAATCTGGTACTTGGAAGAAGTTGAAAACTACAACAGACTTGAGAAGATAGCTAGCCTCTCCTACTAGTTTGTTTTTACTCCTCCCCCACCCCAGAAACCTCCAATATCCTTACTCACTTCTTGGAGGAAATGCCACATTAGGGTTTCATGTCTTTAAAGCTTAGAGTCCCAGTGGAATGAGTGTTGGGATGCAGGTGTGGGAATCAGGTAACACTGTTAGGAGGAGTCCAACAGATGACTTTGCTAAGGAAGTTAAGAGCCACTGCCTAAGAGCCTTTTCAGGAAATGGGCTATTAACAATCAGTTCTGGGAGAATCAAAATTTTAAAAATGACCCTGAGGCCACTGCGGAGTCAGACTAGCTATTATACAGTGAGACTAAATAGTGGCTCCACTACAATATATGACTTGGTCCTATCAATTTAGACCAGTTTCCTCTTCCTGATTAAAGGCTCAACTAGTGGCGTGAGAAAGAGTTTCAAATTTGCGCTCTACCACTTATATGCTGTGTTACTTTTGGAAAGATCCTCACCCTCTCTGCGCCTCAATTTCTTCATTTCCCAAATAGGAAGAACAACAATACAAGCCTCACAGAGATCCGGTAACCATGATATTTGGTAATCCATACAAAGTACTGATCACAGTGCCTGGCACTTAGTAAGTACACAGTAAAGATTACTACACTGGCGTCACAGTTTGGGTTGTTACTGCTTTTATCTGGGAGTAAACACTTGGCACAGATCTGTTAGGGCAGCCTCAAGGCCGTGATGCTGTGCGGTCACTAAGTGAGGAAAACTAGGGGTCTAAGCTGAGACAGCCACAGCAGAGGCTGGAGGGAAGGAAAAAGCATAAAACAGATTATGAAGATTTAATGACTTTCTTGAAGACCAAAGGAGATGAGAGAGTCAGGGGCGACAAAGAGGCTCCCAGCCTCACTTCTGGGGAAGAACAATCTTACCATGGACAAAACCACCAGGTCAGGAAGGAAAGCCCATTTAGCTCTCTCTGCTAGAGAGATCTTGGTGGTCATTTTACCCCATCGGTTTTACAAAAACACATCTAGAACTATGAGATCCAATTCATTAGCCCCTGCCTACATACTGCTCCTTTGATAAAATTTAAATGAAATACTGCTCAATGTTATGTAGCAGCCTGTGAATGGGAGAGGAGTTTGGATGAGAATGGATACATGTATATATGTATGGCTGAGTCCCTCCGCTGTTCACAAGTATGGCTGAGTCCCTCTGCTGTTCACCTGAAACTATCACAACATTGTTTAATTAGCTACACGCCAATATAAAATGAAAAGTTACAGATACAATTAAAAATTCAATCTTTTTGGCACACCAGCCACCTGACTAGTATCTATCACCTCAGACAATGCAGATACAGAACATTTCCATCATCACAAAAAAGTTCTATTGGACAGCACTGATCTAGCCCAAAAGTCCAAAATCTTTCTCTGTGAAAGGCAAGATAAACATTTTAAGCTCTGTGGTCCATGTGGTCTCTATTGCAACTTCTCAGCTCTGCCAACGGCTATTTCACAGCCTTGGACAGTAGGTAAATGAATGGACAAGAATGTGTTCCAATAAAACTATTTACAATAATAGACATTGGGGCATATTTGGTCCATGGGATATTATTTGCCAATTCCTGATCTAGAACCCTAAATTTAAGGCACAAAACCCAACTCTATAATCTCAAATGTCAAGGATAAGCTATATGATCTTGAAAAGTTACTTAAACTCTCCTGGCTTCAGTTTCCTATTGTGTGAAATAATTTATACCTCTTCAAGGAAGCTGAAGAAACTGAAAAGAAATGGTGTTCATGATATAACTGGCTTTTCGAAGGAATATGTTCAACATCTCATGATTTCTAGAGTTAGGGTAGGAGCCCATTTTCTCTCTAACCCTCTATACTGGCCAAGGAAATAATGGAACAGCAACCATATAGGCCCAGAATTCAGATGCTAAAGAGTCTGCCTGCAATGCAGGAGACCTGGGTTCGATCCCTGGGTCAGGAAGATCCCCTGGAGAAAGAAATGGCAACCCACTCCAGTATTCTTGCCTGGAGAATTCTATGGACAGAGGAGCCTGGTGGGATACAGTCCATGGGGTTGCAAACAGTCAGACACGACTGACTGACTGTCACTTCACTTTGAACCTGTGGACACACCCTTCCCAGCATTCATCCTAAGAGGTCTCAAGTTTCTGAAGAAAATTAATTGCAGTTTAAAAAGTCAGAAAGCTTCCTTAGTCACTCTTCACAGGTTATTACACTTTTCTTGGATGTGCTCTGAGAGTCAGCCCTCCCCACAGATAGGTAGAAGCAGGTCTAGAGAATGCTACTACAGCCGAGGCCTGATCCACAGATGCAGAGGTCGGAGGCGGCCGAGGCCAGATCCCTCCTACCTTCCTTTCAGCTTGGCTAAGTCAAGCACAGGGAGCGGGCAAGGAGAGAAAGTGAAGTGGTTGCAACCTTTGGCTGAAGTCAAGGAATTCTGAGGGTGTTCACCTCAGCGTATTCGAGAACAGGGAGAGCTTCCCACTGCTCCTCGGCCACTGCCAACTGCATTTCTCTGAGTTCACAGAGTCAGCCACACCTTTTACGGCCTGGATATGCCCTAAATTCATGCTGCCTGAGCAAACACAGCCAATCACCTCCATCTGCTTCCACCATCTATCCGAGGCTGTTTTTCTATCTTGCAAGAGCATTTGTTTCTAACGATATTGCTCAGTGCCCTTGTGCGTCAGAGCACGTGTGTGGCCCCCGGTCTCCTCCTGCTATTTCCTCCATGACTATCAAAGGTACCACCACCCTGCCAGTATTTTTCTCCCCTATGTTATAAGTATCTCACTCCAGTATTCTTGCCTGGAGAATTCCATGCACAGAGGAGCCTGGTGGGCTACAGTCCATGGGATCACAAAGAGCTGGACCCGACTGAGCGACTAATATACGTACACGTTGTTAAGTATCACCTTCTCCCCTCCTTCTTTCTCGACATTCTTTCTCTTCAGACTTCCCCCATCGACTTGTTCAAAGTATAGTTCACCCACACATCAGACTAGATTGAACAAAGTCACAAATCCTAAAGGACTCTACATATTTCTGTGATATTACATGTGGTAAATTCAGAGGAAAGAGAAATAAATCTGCCCACTCAACGCTGGTAAGAGCCCAAGTTTTAACTTCAAACTCTAAACTGGAACACTTAACTAGCAACAAACATCTCCTAATACTTATCATTTCAGCTGTTGTAGCTGAACCATAAAATTGAATTATTTATTTTTCAAATACGAATGGATGGCTGTTTAATAAGTTTAGTATTATCTTGGCAATGACAAGGAAAATAAATGCTAAGGAAATGTGTAAGTGTTTCAAAAATCTCATTGGCAGGTTCCTGCAATCTCATTAAAACCTGGATGTCTGCCCTTAGCTCTAGACATCAGATCTAGTCAAATAAAACACTTTGTGACCAGTCCTCCAAGTTTACCTAATCTACAACATTCAACACAGCCATTTTAACCAGACTACAAATCAATTTAACAGAAAAAAAAATTCACAACTCTATATCCAAACTCTAAAAATCTTTTATGCTTAAATTATAAAAATATATTTATAATGCTTACTCATGTAATTCCATTCACCCAGAAATTATCCCTAAATTATCTGGATATTGTCAACAATGTGATTTTTGGCATGAAATTTCCAAATCCTTGCATCAATTTGCAAATGTACCTTGTATGCAAGTGTAATTTGACAGTCTGATTTCTCCACCCATCAAAAAAGCCCTATAATTAGTAGGAATCTGTCTGCTGCATGATCAGAACTGTCTGTGAAAGAACATGGAGGAAAGAATTTAATCACAAAGAGTCGGACACGACTGAGTGACTTTCACTTTCACTTTTCACCTTAAAAAATAAGGTAGTCTTAAAAAAATCTCTGTGGTTGAGCACTTTATATCTAAAATGCATGCATCTCTAATTGTCAGGTGATCTGTAATGAGTACACTGGATTGGGTTTTGTGGCAAGAGTGTCTTTTTGGAGAAACTACATTTTCTATACCAGTATTAGAACATACAGGTTTGATGGAGGATCTTTATCCTTACCAAGTAGAAGAAAAATTGTAGAGACAGATTCGTAAAGCAAAATAGTTTAACTTTAGGGATACATTTTGGTGGTTTTTAAGGACAACAGAATAGAATATTTGAAATTAGAACTGAATAAAAAGTCTGAAACACAGGACCTTGCTAACTATTTCCCAAACTCTTCCAACCAAGAAAGTACAGTGAAACCTCATTAAATCAGACACAAGTGACTCAGAATTTGGACTAATTAAAGACAGAAGCTGGAACAAAGGTTAACTCCACCTAAATAATGCTTAAAATACTCATGAAGGAAAAATCTGTTTTCATCTCTTAGGTATGCTAATTTTAATCAACTGCTTTCTTTGCATTAAAGTATCTTTTCTCTGTGTGCCTGCTCTTTTTCTTGAGTTTTAGCTTTCATTTTCTTCTGACCACAATAAAAATGAAAAGGCTTCATAACATAGATTTACTCCAGTATATCAGGCCACCTCATCCCCCTTATCATTTTAATGACCTGCATATTTACAATATTTGGTTGACCACCAAGCTGTTACCTTCTTTTGGATTCTCCTCCCACACCCTCTCAAAGCAAAACAAAACGAAACAAAAAATCTGATCCAAAATAGGAATAAAAAGTGATCATTACTTACGAATACAACTTGAAAAGGTAGGATCTGGCCCAAATCCCATTTTGCAGGTACATCTGTAGCTGCCCATGGTATTCAAACACTCACCATTAGGGCACACACCCTGTAGTTGGCATTCATTAATATCTGCAGGAAAATAACTCTTTTAGAAGGAGAAGTCAAGCATTGTTGAACAGATTCTAGCTGTAAAATGCATATCCACCCTCTTTTCTTGTTCCCCCACTATAATATCTCTCAGTTACAGTAAGTATGAGATGCTAGCAGCTTTTAATGCATTAGCAGTTTAATCAAATCAAACATTTACTGAGCATCTACAATTTAGCAAATATTTACTATGAGCCTATTAGGTACCTGGTTCAATTCTAGATACTAGAGCCTTACCACTGAATAAAACTGACAAAAGATCCCAGCCTTTACAAATCTTCTATTTTAGTGTCTGTGTTATTAAGTATTATAGAGCATACAGGTAAGGCAAAGACCCTTGCCCTGGAGATTTTATATAACTATGTAAAAATTAAGGAACTGAAAATCAGTCAAGTTATCACCATCAGAAGAAAGGTCATAACCCTGAACAAATTATACCATGAGATTGCCTATCTAGACAAGTAAGAGCTGTGAGGGGAGGGTGCAGGTAAGGGAGACTGCGGCATGGCAAAGGAGGTAAGTGAATCTGCGGGGGAGCCAAATGCATGGGCAGGAAAGGGTGAATGATCTGCATGGGTGGACATGAGCATGAGCACAGAGACTGGAGAAAGAAAGGGGATCAGGAAATCATGAGTCAATTATCGGCTGGAAAAGAAGTTTCTGGAAGGTGAATAGCTGGAAAAAGAGCTGGTTAAAGCCAGGCTAGGTTTGGATTCAATTTTACTGAAAACAGAGAAATATACTAAAGGTTTGTGAGCAGGAGGAAGATGTAATCAATGGCAGGCTGCAGGGAATGCATCTGGCCAGCACATGGCTTGGTGAGATGAGATTTAAAGTTTGATTGCTGAAGGAATAATGCAAGTATGAGACTGGTGACAAGCCAGGTTGGTGACAGTGAGAATAATCAGAAAGAGAAGGAATGAAGTATTTTTTGTATTTTTGGAAGGAACAACTGACAAAGCATGGCGTTCAGTATTTGACTAGCCAACACAGCACTGGACAGGAAGAGGGTCAAAGATGCCTGCAAGGCTTCCAATCTGAGCAAAGAGGAAAAGACATTGTTGGTTTTGTGCAAAGTTCTGTGAAGGAAAGAGGCAGATGAAGAGATAAGTTTGACACTACAAGGTCACACTGGGATATTCAAGTATAATTATCCAGCTGCAGCAGCAGATTCAGGAATAAAGTGAAAGGAGTTACGGCTGGAAATAGAGACTTATGATTATCTACATAGGGTGACTGCTGTGGTCTCAATGTTTTGCACCCCACCTCGCCAAATCGGTTGAAATCCTAACCCTCCCCCCAAAGGTGACAGTGTTAGGGCTTCCCTGGTGGCTCCGCAGTAAAGAATCCACCTGCCAATGCAGGAGACACAGGTTCGATCCCCGGTCCAGGAAGATCCCACATGCCGCACAGCAACTTAGCCCATGCACCACAACTACTGAGGCTATGCTCTAGAGCCCCGGAGCTGCAACTACTGAAGCCCATTCACCTTCTCCGGAGCCGAGGAGTTGCAACAAGAGAAGCCACTGCAATGAGAAGCCTGCACACAACTAGAGAGTAGCCCCCACCAGCCACAACTAGAGAAAAGCTGGCATAGCAGCAAAGACCCAGCACAGCCAAAAGTAATAAAATTATTTTTTAAAGATAAATATATTTTTCAAAAAGGAAACAGTATTAGTAGGTGAGCCCTTTGTGGTGTGCTTAAATCATGTGGGAGAAACCCTCACGAGTGAGATCATTGCCTTATAAAAGGGGCTTCAGGGAGACCCCCAGTCCCTCCCACCATTTTGAGAATACAACACAGACACCTATAATCGGAAGAGGACCCTCACCAGAAGGCGACCATGCTGGTGCCTTGATCTTGGACTTCCCTGCCTCCAGAACTGTGAGCAATAAATACCTGCTGTTTTTAAGCTACCCGGTCGGTAGTATTTTATTATAGTGGCCCAAATGGACTAAGACAGTGACCCAAGGGGACATCAAAATGATTTTGAAGAGGACAGACAAAATGTCTTTTTTAAGACATTTTTAAAAAATCTTTTTTAAAAATTTAAAAGACATTTTAAAAAAATCTTTTTTAAAAAAGATCATGGAGTCATTTGCAAAGATAATTAAAAATAAACATAATGTGACAAGTTAAAATTTAAAAAAAAATTAGAAGTCATCTATTTTATTAAGGGTGACTTATGAAGCTTAATAGCTAACAAACTTGACTCTTAGTGTCTCCATTTCAAATTATACTTACTTCTTACAATCATTGATTCTAATAAAACTAAGGACCTTAAAATGCTAACTTTCTACATTAAAACTGAACACCATGATAGTAAACAATTACTAGTAGAATCATCACATAAAGGCAGATACAACCTGAAATAAATCATTATTTGCTTATACTTCATATTCAAAGTAGCCAAAGACATGTATATGGATGTATTTTACCGAACATACGCAATTTTTAACTTCAGTGACAATATGATATTTTCAACGACATTCAAATAACAATCCATATTTGTTGTATAAATTCTACAGCATTCCAGGTTTGCATCCAGCTGGAAGCTGGTACAGCTAGATGACACCTGGCCCAGCATATGGTCTAGCACCTGCCCATCTTATTCTTGATCAGAGTCTGTGTTTTACTGTAAAGCACATTTATGCACAACATGTAATTGAAAACATTCCCCTATAACTCATTTCCTTAAGGGAAGCACCATAAAGAAGCAGGAAGAGTGCCAAGTCAAGTTGAGGTGTACATGGTACAAGCAAAGCCCTTATCGAACATCCCCATTTAAACCTCAAATTTGGGTAACCAGTCAACTGGGTCAAAAAAGATGGACAAAAATCTCTGTTTCCCCTCATGTTCCCATGATGGTGTGATCATCAGCACCTTCCTCTTTCTCCAAGTGGACTTGACTCCTAATCATTGGTTGCACCATTACACCATCCATGCTTACCTCTTAGGACCCAGAATCTCCCCTTACCTGGAAGTTTCTATGACAGTCCCATCACAGCCTCCCTGCTGGCTAACCTCCCTGCAGGTTAAAGTAGTGTTTCCCGTCCCCCCCACCAAGACATAGATACCTGATACACAACCACTGCCTTGTACCCTCATCCAACGTCCCCTTTCTGACTCCCAACATTGCCCACCACCTCGACCACGATGCCATGGGAATGGAGGACACAAGTTAACATAATCAAAAACACTAAGGCTACAGACAGTAAGAAATAGAATGAAGAAGAGGAATCAGGTAAAACGTTTCCTTTTCTTACCATCTCTCTTCTGATCAGCTTGTGCCACCAACACTAGCAACACCACTCCCCCTAATTTTGGCTCCAGAAACTCAAAATCATGGACACATGCTAAGAGCTTCCAGAAAAACTCCTGTTTCCCTAAGCTGCTTCAATTTCTTTTTATCATATTCTCTAAAATACCATAAATGAATTAAATTTCCAAGATTTTTCCTTTCTAAAGTTATACAAAGCTAAGGATATCCATCTTAAGTATCCAGCTACATGAGTTCTTTGCATCTGCATACACGTATATATACACCTGGGTGTGTGTGTGTGTGTGTGTGTGTGTGTGTGCAAACACTGTGTAACCACCATCATTACCGAGCACATTTCACTGCCTCAGAAGGCTCCTTCAAGGCCCTTCCCTTTGCCCCCACAGGTAAGTACTATTCTGATTTCCATCATTATTTATTAGTCTCGCCAGTTCTTAAACTTCATACAAAGGAAATATCACTACATATTCTTTTGTCTGACTTTTAATTATTATGCTTATGAGATTCATCAATGTTGCTGTATGCAGTTCATTTTTAATTGCTGTTATCTTTTATTATCTGAGCACAAAGTTAATTTACCATTCTACTGTTGACAGACATTTGGAGCGTTATTTCCAACCAAGCACCTGTGAACATATATATATATACACACACACATACATATATATATATCTTTTGATAGGCCCAGGTACTCATTTCTCTTGGGAACATATCTAGGAGTAAAATTTCTGAGTCACTAAACAAGGCTCATGTTTACTTTAGTAAATACTGTCAGTTGCCCAAAGCGATTATGTCAAGTTCCATTTCCAGTACTAACTGCTCCACTTCCTCAAGTTATTGCCGGTTTTTTCATTTTAGTCATCGAGAGAGTGTGTAGTGTTATGTCATTGTGGCTTAGACCTGCATTTCCTTTTCATATATTAATTAGCCATTTAGATCTAAAAACAGTCCCTTCTAAAATGTAAATACCTATAGGAATGTTGTAGGTCAGTTAAGATAGCTCCCCTCTTAGTGCTCAGGGAGAATCAGGTGATTCTCAGAGGAGGATATGCTCGTTCCAAAGGCTGGGAAGCACTCACTGGGTGGACACTAGCTAAGCAAACTGTGGTTGGCCCCCTTGGCAAACAACTGTTCTGCCAAAATTGTCAATATGCCTTCACTGAAAAACACACAAAGAGGGGATGAAAACATGAGCTTATAAAGCACAGAAAGAACCATTCTGAAGTGAGGCTGTCTGAGGAATGATGGGGTGGAGGCAGGTGGTGCTTCCATGACAGGATATGGAGGCTTTCATTCGCTCAACTCAGCATCTATACTGTCTACGTCTGGATGGTCTCCTACTAGCTCTGAGGAGGTTCTCCAGCCTGAGCAAGAAGCAAAGCAGACTATGTTCTCCAGATTGCTGAGTATGGGGCTCTGTGCTTTGTGATCTGCAGACCAGAGTCCTAGCATCACCATGTCTGACTGGGGCTCTGAGGTAAATTCATCAGATTGAACTGTGATCTGCAGGCCCATCCCAGGAGCCTGGGCATCCTGCCTACCTCTTTTAAGCAAGACAGTTAGTTCCGTTACATCTGCTTCAAAAACTGAACTTCTAAGATGGCATTTGTCAAGAAAATTTGAACATCACTGACATTGTTTCTGTGAAGAATCACATTCTGGTTTCAACAACTCACAAATAAAAGTTTTAAAAGTATTCCA